TATCTTAGAATCCAAACCAACCACAATCCTGTGAGATTATCCAAATGAAACAGGTTTAAACCTGCTGGGTGTGTGATACGTTGAATTTACTTTGCAGGTACTTTGTTAGTTAATGAAAGAATGCTAGAGTCTTATGTGATTGCAAGAGATCGATTTCTAGTTCCAAATGGAAAAATGTTTCCTACAGTAGGAAGGTAATTTCTTTCTTTCAACACTCAACAGTTGATTCTGAGGAGTCTTGTCTTGTCAAATCATTCAGGAAGTTACTAGTTTGGTTATGAGGTTTTTTTTCTTTTTTCTTTTTGATAAGTAGTTTGCTTATGAGGTTATTTGTTTCTTATTCTTGTTTCCCAAATCTGGTGCTTTACCTTTTTACCACCAGGCATTTGACAAATCATCTTTTAATAGATTTTTGTATCATAGACTATTTTTTTCCAGCTCAAGCTATCAGCTTGCTCCTTCTGTGAATCGAGGTCGGGTACAATGATATAACTAACATTGACTTGCAAAACGTGGGAAGCTCAAGTTGTCTACTTTATTCTCCTTTTTTTTAATACTTGAGACGAGCTTTCAAGCTTAATTCTCAGTCTGATGTCCACAAATATGCTTCAATGCAGCTGTCCACTGCTTTTCATATTTTATAGTCATACCATTCAGTTAACCAAGCTGCTGCCCCTCTCCCAAATCCAATCTCTGAAAAGAAGATCTTATCCTTTGTTTTCCAATTGCTTTTACATGTCTTTCGAATTCTTTATTAAAAGAAACATTTTGCACTTCTCCCAAGTCCCTCCTGAGTTTGTGATACATAAACTAGCATGTAACCTTTTCAGTTTTTCCTTTTGCTCCGTGGTTTTTTATATGAGTTAATTTTCCAAATTCCAGCTTATGTTTCTCTTTATTTTGTAGAATACACGTGGCACCATTCAGTGACGAATATTTGTATATGGAAATTGCAAACAAGGTACATTGGATCATATCACTGTCTTCTTGCTCTCTGGGTGTATCTCCTCTATGACAGTTTCTTTCTAAACTGGGTCTCTCCCCCTCTGGAAGAGGATGATGGGTGCTATATGAAGAGGAGTTTCTTTCACAAAGATCTCAATGTCCTTTTTTTTTTTTTTTTTTTTTTTTTTTTTTTTTTTTCGCGTTAGTGTTTAAAAATATTATCAATTGAAGGCTTATATGTTATTTATAGGGATGGATCTTACATAAGTGATTATGTTCAGTTTCATTGTGAAAAGAGTTTAATTTTGGTTTAACTTTGTCATACAGGCTATTTTTTGGCAGCAACAGGGCTATTTTGGGGTCGATTTGACACCCTTGCAGAGATCTGCATATGAAGGATACTTTTCTCAGGTCAATCTCATACATATTAGGAATTTATTAACTCGGCCTCTGAATTATTCACTTTGACTTAGTAAGCATTTAAAACAGTCGTAGTTGTTTACTTCCATAGTCCCGTGTTGTCCATGGTCTTAATGTTGTTTGGTTACTTAAATCGTGAATGTGCAGTCTATGCTAAACTTGTAAATTTTACAATTCGACCTTCAGAATTTCAGACAATTCTTCATAAATGCCTATATTGTTGAACAATTTTTAGTTCTTAGAAAGAGAAGGGAGAACCTAAACAAGTTTATGCTCGAATAATTTCTTAACCATTGATGGACTTTGATATTCCTTAATTTGATGTACTGTACTGAGAAGCATCTTTCAGCATCCAAGTTGAATTTCATAGTCAAAGTCATAGTTGTATGTACTGAACCTACCCCTTCCCCCACTCCAATGTCATGTATTTAGTTTCCTAAACTTGAGAATAGGTGTTAGAGAGAGGTATTGCTGTAGTTCATTACCAAGGTGTGAGAAGGTGCTAATTTAATTTGATCGGTCTGTCCTATAGTCTATACCAGTTGCATGAATAAAATAACTGTACACTCTTTCAAATGCAATAAAGTGAAATATCAGCGGGAAAGAATTGTGATGGAATACTTGTAGCTTTGATTATTAGGAAGGGCTCTGTTTGTGGTATACTTGGTTTTCTCATCATCCCTTTAGCAGTGTTATCAAAGGCGCGCTTAAAGCGCGATTAAGCCCTGAAGAGAGGCTCAAAACATGTTGAGCGCTTCGCCTCGCTTAACGGGCACTTCAGTATTGTCATCAAGGCTCTAAGGCATACTTTCCTTGCTAACGAGCGTAATCCGGAAGACACAACACTAAACAATTGATATTTCACTTTATCGTAAATTTTTTTCAATTTCTTTGTCCATATATTTGTTATTCATGCTTATAGATATTAGTCTTGGACAACACATACGTATTTGTAATTTTTCTCCATTTGCGCCTTTCTTCATTAAAGCCCACGCTTTATTTGTGCTTTGCGCTTAAAGCGCTAACAGACGTTAGAGCTTTTTTGCGCTTTTCGCTTTTGATAACACTGCCCTTTAGACATTGTTAGTACAGCTAATTTATTCTTTCTTTAATTTGGATATTCATATTCTTTGCAGCCAGTGGTTGATGCTTTTGATCCGAGGTTATTGGTAGCTCCTGCAATATCTCACGTGATTAACTTCATTTCGATAAAGGTATTATCAGAAATTTCATTCTGTAGGTTGTTCGTAGATCAGAGTTGATAGAAACATCCTTTATTCTATAGGCTTTTACTATATGTTTTTCTCGACGAGTAAAGAGCATCCTACAAATTCAATGTTAAGGAATCTAAGACAGTTTTCTTAAAAATAAACACTTTTTCACAAAAAAAGAAAAGCATAATCAACAGATATACAAAGTTATTGGAAGCAATATGCATAAATTAGCTGTTCCCTCTACTTTTGCGGATTAGTATCCATTATATACATGCTTCCTTGTCATGAACAAGTTTCTATTTGTGGAGTCGGGTTTGATAGGGAAAAATTATCTCTGGTGGAATTACTCATATATGAGGCAACGGTTTTTGTTGAAAAATAAGGTCATTTAGCAAACTACATTCTTGCATTGTACCAGTCTCTGGCCAGAAGTTCTTGAAACATACTGCTGGGTGAAATGATCTTTTTCTACATATATATTACAGGAAGAAGATCTATATGAAATTGACATTCCATTGAGATTTACATCTGCTGCTAGCACTAGAATTCATGGGCTGGCTTGCTGGTTTGATGTACTTTTTAATGGAAGGTAAACTTTTGTTATTGTTGCATCCTTGGCGGTGGATCTTGTTGCTATTTTGCAGTAAATTGCATCATTTCTTTCTGCAGCACTGTACCGAGGTGGCTGACCACGGCTCCCGGTGCACCTACAACTCACTGGTATCAGCTTCGGTGCGTGTTGGCACAGCCACTTTATGTCATGCCAGGACAGGAGATAACTGGCAGCCTTCGCCTGGTTGCCCATAAGGCACAAAGTTACACAATTTATCTAACATTGTCTGGTAGGTCTTTATCATTGTCGTTTGTAGCATTTGTATCGTATCTTGTTGGTCTCTTTGTCCCATGAAGTCGAATTTGCTGATAGATTTCTTCGAGAATCTAACATATCATTGATCAATTTGAATAGCTACTGTTGGAGATGTGCTCCAAACATCATCCGGAAAACTTGATCTGAAGGAACCATATTACCGGATGTCCCAACCACAGGCATATTCCTTGGCACAAGATCAACAACCTAATCAGCTATTACAAGCACAGGTATTGCTTATTTTTCCATCATAGTGGTTAGACAATGATTCATCTGCCCCACATGTCTAGCTTGTCTGGGTTTAAGCTGTAAGTTTCCAGGATTTGAAATTACCACTAATTTTTGAGGTGCAGCAATATTTTTTTTTTTTTTTTTTTTTTTTTTTTTTTTTTTGCAATTTATAGATATACATTGTTCCGACTTTAAGAGATAATTATTACATATTCAGTATTTGTAGGATAGCTTTCATGCCAATATTTTTTGCCATTAATTTTTCCGTGATTGCTCAGTCGAAGTGATGATCGCAAGTTGCCTTTTCTGTCATGGACAGGACATACTAACACAATCTCGGGATGAAGATGGCTCTGTCCCCGTGCAACATCCTTCTCCAAATTCTGGCGCAGAGCTACATTCACTCTGATGGTGAAATCCAATATAAGGGATGTGCTTCTTGATACTCTCCTGTTTGTATCATTAGAGTACTTGGCTAAGCTAAAGCATGCAAATTTTTAATCCTGCCAAGTTCCAACTTAACCGTTTTTACCTTGATTGCTTGTAAATTGTCGTTTATGTACTATCTTTCTTGTTTTTCTTCTTCCATTAGCACTTTCAACCTGACCATGTAGGATGCTTTTGTATCCAGCATGATATAAATGGCTATTTCAGCTGTGCAAGGCTCTGGTGATCCCTCTTTGCTGGATCTACAGGTTAGATGGGTTCTGTGTCCCTATTTTCCGTGTATAAATATTACTCAAGAAAATTATAGAACTCGTTTTTTTTTCATTTACACAATCTCCAAATGCAACAAAAGCGAAATGTAAGGAAGTTGTTCCACTACTATATACATTGAACTAAGAACATGGTCCAGGTGATTTATACGTAAGAGACGTGGTATAGTAGCCCATGGGAAAAATATACTGGAATAGGAACATTGAGCTTAAGAATCTAGCAAACTAGCATGTGTAGATGTTACTGAAGTCTGAGCGTTTGTCGGCTTTGCTTTACTACTGTGTAAGTGAAGATCTCGACTAGACGATTGACTTGGGGTAGCATCTATTATGTATTTGGCTCCTCCCATTTGTTTCTTGTCTCCATTTCTCCGAGTTCTTAGGTTGATGGACATGCCCCACACTAATATTAGTTGTTTAGAAACTAGAAAAAGGGTCTTAATCATGTTTAAATATTGATCGTCCCCCTATTAACTTTGAGAGTTCATACAGCTATAGCGCCCAAAATTATATGCTCTTGAAAAATTTGGCAGGAGAGGAAAACTAACAAATTGTTTCCGTGGAAATCAATGTTCTGTGACCATTGTTAGAGCAAACACAAGAAGGGGAAAAAACAGAGAAAAAGAAAGCAACTGTTAAAGAGTGGTACAAGGAGCAAAAATTACAAACTAAGTAGGTACACAAAAGTAATTATATAAATGAACTACTCCACTTCTCTTCTCTTCTCTCTCTCTCTCTCTCTCACACACACACACACACACATTGATAAATGGATCTTGGGCATAACTCAACCCTAAAAGCTAGCTTATGAGGTGAGGATTACCCAAGACCATATAAAGAGACCACAACAACAACATACCCAGTATTATCCCACGCCGACCATATAAAGAGACCAAGGACCTCAAATCCCACCGATATGGGACAACTCAACACACATGCACGCAGACGCGCACACATTTACATATACCTCTCTTTTATTACATAAAAACAAGCTGAAATCATAGGATTGTGCAGCTATTCACATTCTCGTCGCTTAAGAAGCTGTAATAGGGTTGAGGCCTTGCCGAGGATGGTGGCGATGGTGATGGTGATGGTGATGGTGATGCCTTATAATTGTAGTCATCTGGCATAGGTGGAGCCGAGGGAATAATATCATTTGACCATATTGGCCCTGAATTGCTATTTGCATAACAAGAATCATAACTAGTATTACCATATTGGCAATGACAATTATAACATGAGTTTCTGTTATGCGCACAATTGTTACCATATTTCCTATGGTAATAACATGAGTTTCTACCATGTGCACAACAAGGACCCAAATTAGTATTATTACCATATTGGCAACATCCATAATGAAGATCATGTCTTATAGCAGAGTGACCACCACAACATGATGAAGAAGCAGCACAAAGTCCACCACCACTGTGTGAACAATCATGATCATGTGTAAGCACTTGACCTTGATGTTTTTTCACATTTTTTGTGATAGTGGTAATTTCCACAGTCTTGTTGCCACCATTTCTTGATTCCCCTTTGAAAGTTACCGTAGTAGTTTTGTTCACCTCCACAATTTCATCACTAAGGTCAGAAAATTGCTTCAGTTGTGTCATAATGTCAGGATCATTCAGTGGATCAATCACTTTCGACCGTGTGATATCTTTACGACTCTGTTCTTGTTCACACCAGAATTCTGCTTCTCTCCCAACCTTTTCAAGCTTTGTTAGGATTTTTGCAGGGTCTACTTTGCCTGAGATGATTACTTTCCCAAGTTTTTGATCAATTTCTACTGAACGAACACCCTTAATGTTTTGCAGCTCGTTTTTCAGTTTCTTTTCACAATCCCTGCAGTGTACTTTCATCTTGAGAGCAAAGGTGTTGAAAGGATGTGACATTTTCACTATCAGCAAATATGTATATCCTCCTTTTTTGCGTTTCTTCAAAAATAGTATTCCTGGGAAAAAAGGCAAAAATAGCTGAGAAACGGCATTAAGATAACTGAAAATATTATCCAATAGAGAAATTTAAAGAAAAAGGTTATCTATCCCCTTTCTCAAAATCCAATACGATATATAGCTATGACCTTTCCAGTTTATGCAGGAATTTGGTGAGAAATTTTTATGAAAAAAGTGTAAAGAAGGATAGATGGATTGCGATCAACAACTGTAACTATAACTACTACATCATGAAGATATTGGCAGTGTCACTGTAGAGTCCCACACTGATATGGGATGTGGATTTTCTGGGCTCTTTATATGGTCTTGGACAGTCCTCACCTTATGAGCTAATTTTTGAAGTCGAGTTAGACCTAAAGTCCATTTTGTCAAGGTATCATGGTTAGGCCCATCCCAATTTATTGTTACCACCTTTTGGGTCCCAATTTTGTCCACGTTTCGGTTTGCCGGCTTGGACCCGGG